TATATGTTGGTGGTATTTGAAAGGACGAAAAAGAAGGTTGAAATTTTACAATAAATCCACTAGTATAGTCAAGTCTTAATAGCTAATAGGTGAACAAAGGATTTGAAAGAATAAAAAATTAAGCGCAAGCATATATTCTTGTCGTTATTGCGACTCCATTAATTTTCATGGGCATACCAAAAGCTGTTGGTTTTTGAATTAAAACTATTTCGGCTCGTTTTTCTTACGATATTATTTTGGATTGTAGAAGCCTGTTAGAATTTCAGCCTTGCCTATGACCGTGAATTGAAAAGGCAAACTCCTAATTAAGCATGTAAAGATGTTTTGTAGTTCCTTAAATGTTGCAATTCGTTAACTGATTTTATATAATTTCTGGATCTCGGTTCCGGCTAATCATCTCCTTAGCCAGGGCATGGAGGGTGTTCAAAACAGGAGACTGGAGAAACTCGGACGCTTGCCATATGCTCATGACTCGAATTGCAAAAGGCACCTTCTCCTTTCTTTCTTATTTGATGTAAAACGTTATGAATGTTGTGATTAATATAAACTATACGCTGCGATTAAAAAGAATTTTCTAGCAAAAAAAATTTAGTCTATGAACGTTGATACTTAAAATGATATTTATTACGATACTTATTTTGATACTTATTGTTAAATGGGCGCTTTCTGCGGGATCTTGTCAGGCGGCGACCAGCAATTTTTTTTTAATCGATTGATGTAAAGCCTGGAGTTGAAACGACTATATTTTAAAACTTTTAGATTATATGCACTGAGTGCAAAGACAATTTCCTCGCAAAAAAGCTGCACCGTTTAGAAAGATTTTTTGACTTAAATTTTTCTATCGTCACAGTCACTTTATCGGAAATCGTAGGATAGGCGATATAGTACGTCATGTATTCAAAACAATAACTCATGCATTGATTACATACAATAATCTCTTCTTTGCCAAAAAAGGTAGTATTTCGTACTTCAAACTGAGCCAGTCCAATCCTATTCGCCCAAAGGGTATAAGCGTAACATTTAACGAACCAATTAGAAATGAAACAAACAGATAAAAGTAAGATTTAATTAGAGTTTCCCTTTTAATAGTAAAAGTTCAGCAGTTGCCTCGCAGCTCGTAATTTTATTTCTTTCTTTACAGCCACTAAAATGGATCAAATTCCCGAGACGCCAGAATGGAATCAGAGTTTGGCAGAAGTTGCCCTTCCATTTGCAATAAAAGAAGAAACAATCTCTTCAGATGACGAGTCAGAAGCCTATTCGCAGCCACAGCAAAAAGAAACAAGTAATAAGTAAACATTTAAACCTAGTTTAATGCGATAGCTTTCGTACATTTTATATTAAGCTGATGGATTGGAATGTTTCACAGTTTATAGAACTGCGAACTTTTTATCGAATTGGCCGTAAATGAATTAAAGTTTCGAAAGGGTAAACGACCATCGCAAGAAAGAAGGCGGAAGGTGTTTTCGAAAATTAAAGCGTTTTAAAAAATCAGTGCAACCTTCTTTTCCCAGAGAAAAAATTGAAAGTTCCAAAGCATCGTTTCTTAATAAAACTATCCATCACTTAAGTTATTTTATTTGTGTTTTAATCATTTTCTTTTTTTTAACCACGATCAGTCAAATTTTTGCTCCTTGATTTTTATGCATTGTCTTTATTACCACTGGGTTTTTCTTTTTAATTAAAAAACTAAAAAGCAGGAGCCAATTGTTTCTATGTTTTTCATTGTTAATTCAACTTGCGATCTTACTGAACGAATTTGTACGTAAAAGGAATCGTTCTGGTTGGCCACGCGATTTAAATGTTGCGAGTTCCTTCTTATGATTTTCCGCCGGATGAATTTAACATTCCGCTCGAAATGAGTCAAAGCTTTTAAAAATTGGATTAGCTTGCAAAGAACTAGAGTGAGTCATTTTTCTGTCATTTTTTTTATCGTTAACTCAACCGTGATTCCTGCCCTGAACGAGAGCAGATCTGCATTTATCGGCACGAAATCGGTTCCGAGTACAACCTAAACAGCCTAAAGCGCCTCGTGATTTGAAAGTTTCCGTTTCTTTCTACGGTCCAGTTCCGCTGGTTGAACATTCAGCTCAAAATGAGTCAGATATTTTAAAAACTGGATAGACTTGAAAGTCACTAAACACATCGCCACTCTCAGCACGCACTTAATATTAAATTGATGCGTTACGTTGTGACCGTTGGTTCTTCACGAAATTTTTGAAGGATTTTTTCCGCATAGATATGGATGGTTACCGTTTGTTGAAGGAGTGGATCGCCTGCTTCGGCCCTTAGTCGAACCAAGAATTTAGTTCAATTTAGTTTAGATCAAGTGTCATCCCTTATTTTTTTTTCAACCACTGAATCATGAGGCTCATTAAGGAGCTTATACAGAGCTTTGAAGATAAGGAAACTGGTATTCGACGACTTGACTGAGAATAGACGACAATTCCTTGGCGAAAAAAAAGTAGCTAAATATCGATTTCATTCGTTGTTTCCTGCTATATTGATTCAATCAGGATATTATTGAATTCTCGTGGATTTGTTTTTGACGTTGTTTTTCGCCACTTTTACAAATTCAAGTTGTGGCTGCGGCATTTTGATGGTGTTAAGGTAAGCGAGTCAAAATACCGCCATGCGCACAGTCCTTCCTGGAAAAATGTTTGCAAAGAACAACATCACATAGACCGATTATTCTCCCTGTCTATTAAGCCACCGCTAGTTAGGCTCATAGTGTTCCGTTTTGTAACCGCTTCACCGTGACCGTAATCTGACAAGTAAATGAATGAGTTTGTTTTCAGATTATCGTGCCAAACATAAAATTCAATTATTGTACTTCGAAATTCTTAAGTGTGAACTCTCTCAAGTTAAATTTACGATTTCTTATAAAATTCCTTTTGAAAAAACAGCATTATTATTATATTAAGTTCCTTCGCGCAAACATTATTTTTAACCATGCCGTTGTTTTGCTAGTTGCTTTTCGCTCTTCCACCGGAAAAGCTGTGTGATTTTGATGGTGCCGGCAAAGAAAACAAAGCAAATCACCGCCTCGAATAGTTATGCCTTCTTTGTCTCTTCCTTTTAAATATAAAAGAATATAGTCCCTCTTCTGTTAAAAACACTTTTCAAAGAATAGAGAAAAAGGAAGAACTCCCTTAGTTCGGTACATTATGATTCCCCATACATGCCGTTCCTACCTACTCAAAGATGAGTACCGCTGACCAACATCAATACAACGGCCGCCTTGGGGACAAAAGAAAGTGGCCGTTCCCTGCGTTCTGGAGAGGATTAAACGAGAGTCAATGTATAGACTGTTCGCCAAAAAAGTGGCTGTTGTAGACAGGTGGTCGTTGTGGAAAAGTAGCCGTTAGTAGTCGTAGTAGAGGTTCGACTGTAGTCTCTCTTCTGTTAAAAACAACTTTTAATGAACGGCAGGCCCGTAGCAGGGGGAGGGGCAGGGGGGGCTCGAGCCCCCCCAGAAATTTTCAGACTTGAATTAAATTCTGCTACAAAAGTGGAATTTTTCTACTAAAATTGACAACTGTCAATGGAAGCTAAAGTTTCAAAGTATTGTCGATCATGGTAAGATTATGCACTGTTGTTCTTCTGTGCAATTTGGAATTGTGTAAATGAACGAAATCGTATTTCTGCTCTTTCAAAAACAACCAATAGCTTTAAAATATCTGCTTATTAAGCATCAAAATATTCAGAAGCAAAATGGATCGAAATGCACCAATGACAATCCCACCTGAACCACCTCATGATGTTGCATGTTCACAAGGAAGTAACAGATGTTCTGACCCTTGTAGACGTAGCTAATGACTTCGTTTGGGAGAAAGAAAACCAAAAGCAATTGTTTGGCAAATCTTCCGCGAACGACAACCCAAACAAGTTCTCTCTTTCGTCAAAGTCAACACAAACGGAAAATTAGAGACAAGAACAAAAGGTATTGTAGACAAAATAAATGTAGTGATCTCACATGTACCAGGAAGTATGCTTTAACCGAGGTACCGAAGCGAGAGGGGGAGTTAATGTGGGCCACTCGCTCAGCCCCCCCAGTCATTTTATGCTTGCTACGGGCCTGAACGGAGAAAACGGAAGAGCTCTTTGAATTCGATACCACCATTTTCTATAGGCAAATAGATAGCTAATTTCAGTACGATGTAGATAATTTTTTCATTCCATTTTATGGTCGTTCAGTTCAGATCGTCCTCAAAGGAAAAAAACGATTAATTCAGTATGCGTTTGCTGCACGTACTGGGGACGATTAATTCAATTTGTACGTGACTGGTACTGCGGTGTTTGCTACGGGCGCTTGGAACTCGTGGTATTTGCGTAAATCGAGGGGAATGTTGCCCCTAAGGTGGCGGTTTCCTGCTGTACGTTTTTGAGTTTCAAAAACAACTGATGAAGCTAACACAAATTGCACGCAAGCTTTCTCATACGGAGAACATTATAATTGAAGAAATGATATAGCACTGACGGTCGTTTCTACAATAAATAGGCAGTGTACAAGAGATGAGTACGCTAGGTGGCTCAGGATTTTAAATACATTTAGATCAATTGTGGAACGGTCCGTTAAGGGCACGTCTTATTAGGCCAATCCCTAAGGCGTTAGTCAATCAAACTATCCCTGGCCAGCTTCTTTAAAAAAGAGCGGAGTTTCCCATTCTCCTCTTCTCCTCCATTATCACTTCCATTCTTTTTATTGTCTTTCTTTCAATAGCTGTCACGCTTTGTTTCTGCGGTAACGCCTTCTACACAGGCTATTCCCTTGTCCATAACGTTTTTTCCCCAACGTCTTGAAAGGAAACCCTCGGCCCCATCCTCCGCGCCCTCCTTCTCTCACATTCTGGCCCTGCTCCCTAATCTCCTTAAATCATATTTACTAGCAAGAGTCTTTTATTGGCCCATTTACATCCCTTGTGACTAGACCCATGAGTTAAAGGTAGGTGAAAGTCAAATTTAGGACGGATCCTAAACGTTTCCTGTGGTTTTCCTTTCCTATAGACGAGAAGAAAAATGGACAACAGCACGATTATTTTTCTAAAGAGCAAAAGAAGCGAGAACGCACTCGTTTTAACATTTTTCAAAGGGCTGAGTTGGAAAAAGCTTTTGCAGCTTCCCCATACCTTGCACCAAGGCATCGGTATGCCATGGCGGCTAGATTGGGTGTCAAGCCAGTTGCCATACAGGTAAGTTTTTTTTAACCAACCAAGACGCTTTTTAAATTTAAAGAGACCGAGGTAATCTTAATAGAAGTAGACGAAGTTAGAATGGAAAGGCTTTCCGAGAACTGATGATCAATATTTGTCAGTTGACATTTTGAGAAAAGGTTGTTCTTGAAAAGGAGAGCAGTTTCTTGAACATTTCAGTTTGGGTTTCATGTTTCTAAAGTTCTGAGACTGTAAATGAAAGTGAGCACAACGCTCCTATGCCGCTGCCCCGGGGCCGCTGCTTGCAGAGTGTAAGATTGTTCACATCTCTTTTAAAATTTTCCAACTGAAGGTCAATTCCCCATTGTCAATTATTCCCCTCATTATAGACTGTTCCAGGCCGTAAGATAGTAGGAAAAGCGGATCAAGAAAGGTTCTGATCGAGAGCCCAGCAAAGTCGTGCCTGGCCATCGCGGTTAAATAGTCGAAATAAACTGTAAAGCGGACGTTTCGGCGTAATCATAATGACGCCATTGTTAAAACTCAATAACACTTTTTGCGATGTATATAAATAGAATCTGGATCGAACACTGATTCTAACACAAAATGTGCGACGAAATTTCCATAGTAAACTCTAATATGCTAGAATTGCTTTACAGACTTTGTCTAGATAGCCAATAGCATCACGGCTTAACTGAAAGACGACCAATCACAGGTCAATAACCAGAGTTTGAAATACCATCACCTGACGTGATATAACTCGGTTGACTCTGAAGATGGCTCCGTAACGAAACGTCAGTTATTGTCGACAACAGTCCTATTCAAGACTTCAATTTACTCACCTGGAGGATAATATTCCACTAATTATAACTGGACATGATATATGATATACACCTATTTCAATTAAGGTTGCTTCCGTGAACCATGTTTCATAGCCTGCAGTGCACTATGGTAAACCCTTTTGTAGCGGGAAGTTTAGTCTTGTTCACGTTCATTGAAATTATGGAGATCATTTGTGAAAAGGCGTTCAAGAGAGCTTTCAAGTCAAATGGCTGCTAAAATTCTTAAGCATGAGTGAGCTGAAAAATTTCATTTTAAAATCTCATACTAAAAAATTAGAAGCCTCTTCTTCTAATAGCATTAAATGATTAGGGTTTTACCGCCTGATTAAGCTGCGTTTTTACATGCGCCAGAATGCTGCTTATTTCAATAAAGCAAATCAACGCTATTCTTTTTTAATTCAGTTTTAAAAAAATTGCTTCGAAAATAGATAAACACGTAATGTTAAGTTATTTATTGCTGTACAACAAACGCCTTGAATTTGATTTTTTTCTTGGTTTGCAAGAAATCACTGTCGACGTTTGCTGACAAATTTCTAGGCGCAGAGTTGCTACAATAATGCATCGCGGGCTATGAAACATGGATCATGCATCCTTCTTCTCAGAAGCAACCTTAACTGAAATAGGTGTATATTCACCCCATTCAAGGGACAGTCCAGCTTCCAATTGTAAGTGGGATTTTTTGTTTTTTTCTTTTCTCTTTAAGTCTTGGTTCAAGAATCGACGTTTCAAATGGCGCAGAGAGGCAAAGGAAGGCTCATGCGGCTCATCTCAGAGGTTGAATCAAAGGCTGGCCGCTGCAAAGGCATATATGCCCTTCGTGTACCAGGCACCATGTGGCTACGATACTGGCCGCATCCAGCTGACTCCTTGCCAGGGATGTTGCAAAGGGAATCTAACCGAGGAACCGTATAAAAGCGCTTTCTATAAATATCCCCCATACTAAACGTAATGGGGAAGTAGGTACTGAGATTTCGTTCCACAATGCCATTGGTTCTGTAAGTAGACTTTCACGATCTAATTGTTACGAGTTTATACAAAATTCATTACATTTGAAAAAGGTATTATGGAGTTCTACCTTGCGGTTGGCACTGAACCAAAACTTATAGTATTCAAACGCTTCAAAGGATGATCCGCAGTTCCCTTTGCGCGTCATGAATTTTAATTCATTTTCAATTAGTTGTCATGTTCACCTGAATGCCTCTGAAAAAAAATATTCCAATAATGCGATGTTAAAGTGAGATGGGTGTATTTTATAACTGTCAAATCACCTAACCAAAACTTAATCATTCTCAAGTCAGTTATCCCAATTTTCTAACCCTCCTCTAAAGTTATTAGAGGTTATAGTATGAAATCTCAGTACCTAGGCAAATTTTAATTAAAAATATTTTGCTTACAAGCTTTATTGCGTCTATTTATGATACATGTATAAAGATATCTACTAGTGAACTTAATTTAGAGGTTCTTTAAAACAATTCTTATACTCCATCTTTTCCCATGAAGTATACTTCTTTATTGGTTACTCAGTGATTTTTAGAATTGTTTGATGTTACTGGTTTAAGGTTAGCGAGTGCCATAATCTTCCTCAATCTGCCTATTACCAACAATAGATAATCTGGATTTCTTTTCCTTGGAAACTGCGGAGGATTTGCCGTTTTCTTTCGAAAATTAATCGAATAACACTAAGCCTGACAAAACAGTCAACATTTCGCCGCGCCAATTACTGGTTTCCCTGCGAAATGACGTCTGAGAAACGAGCAAAGAAATGCCACACTGATGACGTTTCACTACCCATATTTGGATGGGTATGGTGCTTCTGATTGGTTGAAGCAAACTTCCAGCCAATTAGAAGCACTAGGAAATGACGTCTGAGAAACGAGCACAGAAATGCCATACTGATAACGTTTCACTACCCATATTTGGATGGGTATGGTGCTTCTGATTGGTTGAAGCAAACTTCCAGCCAATTAGAAGCACTACCCGGCTGATTTGGGTAGTGACGAAACATCAGTATGAAATTTCTGCGCTCGTTTCCCAGACGTCATTTCGCGAGGAAATCAGTGGTGGGGCTACGAAATGTCGGCTGTTTTCTCAAGCTAAATATAAACACTTTGGATGACAAGCATTGATTAGTATGAGTCCAAAGGTACCGTGAAATTCCAAAAATAATCCCCTCCATGTATAAGCTCTTCCCAATATAAGCCCCCCAAACTCGTAACGCAAAAATCCCTCCGATAAATCGCCAGTCCAAATACAAGCCCCCAGCGCTTGTACTTTTCCCGTCAAATTCAAAATAAACCAAAGAAAAAACTGTACAGTAACTATAACTATAAGCTAGCCCAAAGATTTTAAGACGCATATTTCCCTCCTATTATAAGGTCTTATAAGCCTAGCCGATTTTGAAACGCAAATTTCCCTCCGTGTACAAGCCCCTCCGAATATAAGCCCCTCCAAAAATAATCCCCTCAAAAAGGGCCTTTGAAAAATATAAGCTCCGGGCTTATTTTCGAAATTTTACGATACTTCTATAACAGGAAAAAATAAAAACTGGAATGCTTTCCGGCGCATGGCAGTGTTCACACTTGCTGCCGGTGCACGAACCAAGTATTGTACTCGTTGGACATCAATGTGAACACACCCTTTTTCTAAGTACCCACGCTGGAATTCGGACACAGTGCCTGTGCCCGAACCCTTGTAAATTAGGGCACAAAAGTGGGTACCCGGGCGCTGTGTGCACACTGTACCATTTTTGTTACTTCTGGGGCTGTCCACTGTTTTGTACTCGCGACTAAGCTCGTGTTTCAAAATGGCTTCTGACCGGGCGAAATGGAGTAATTATGTACACAGTTACATATCGGGTACTTAAAGTGTGAACACAACACCATTTTGTGCCGGTACCCAGGCACTGAGTCCCGGGCACCAAGTGTGGACAGCCCCACACATTGAGGTCTTGATCGACTTCTATTTACGGTTTCAAAACTTTAATATAGTAAACATCAGGATTTAAAATTCTTATTGTAATACTCCCTCACGTGTATTCCATACGCAAAAAGGACCTCTTAATGTAAATAATTGAACGGCTTTGCGCACAGAAAACGTTTTATTTTTACGTTCAAATTTGATTAATAAACTATGAATTTTCTTTGGCGTGCTACTTAAGATAGTTGTGGTCGTTTTGTTCCATCGTATATTGTCCTTTAATCAAATTATATACAAATTCCCCATTAACCTTCGAGTCCAACCGCGAAAAAGGTAGGCGGTTTTGGGTCTGGTCGATGGTGAAAACTAACAAAATCCCTCGCTATTCCAAACTGAGGCTACCTACAAACCTTTGACATGAAAATGAGGTTTTTTTGGATAAGAAAAAAATATGATATCATACCGTATACCCGGGGGGGACGGGTACTGTCATATATGGGCTATATAGGTCTTGAATAGGGCGTCATTTTCCAAGAAAACTGATCTGTTGGTTGAAGATCTTAGTATAGACTAGAGAAACCGGGAATTGCCACTCAAAAATATTTAAAAAAATCCAATCGGCAAGTTTAAATTTAGGCAACTTAGTGTAGTATAGCCTGGGTCCCAGCTACCCCACCCAAAATTCCTAGGATAGGGTCGTATCTAACTCTGGTTGGAAAGTTTAGGGGTATTTCTGGTATCAAGTTGTTTTTCTAGCAAAATTTTTTTTTCCCTTTTCTTCCCAGCTGAACTTTTTTTCCTCTGGTATTTTCTTTTCAAAATCATCCACCCCCCTCAAGGGTTCCAGGGTCCCATACGGGATAGCACATCCCTGTTCACCCAAAGAGTTGCAAAGATTACCGCTCTTTCACTTATCCAATACGTCAAGAGATCCACATTCAAAATCGGCGCGGGGTCCGTATCAAAATCACCGTTTTGCAAACAAAACTATCCGGTTTGGTTTTCAGACGGTGTAACACACAGCCACAGCCTCGTTCCCAGATAGAGCTGCGATTGGTCAATACCAAGGATCACTTCCCGTTCGTAGCCCGCTCCCCTGAACAAGGGTAACGAAGCCTCTGGAGACGAGTTTCTATCTAACTGTCAGCAACCGCCTCATAAGCAACAGCCACGTTGGATCTTCTACTGTCAACAGCGGCGTCTAAGGACTCCTCTACCGGGTCGTCAAGCATGTCTTTTTGAAATCCATCTAAAGAGGACAAATAAAAAGAAGGTGAAATACTTGAATTTATGAAAGTCTGGGCAAGTGTAGCGGAAAGTTGTCCAATCTGATACTTCCTCTGAAATATTTACCGAAACGAAAACTCCCGCGTAGCCTGAATTTCAGACATCCCTTCAAGTCGCCTAATCTTTAGGGAGTATATGAGTGACGTCTGAAATTCAGGCTGGGGTCTGCGTGACTCCAATGGAAATGTTTTCAATTGCATTTTTAGACAACAAGATCAGCATAAGGCGGTTTAAGCCCGTAATGTTAAATTGATTTAGGGGTGTTGTCTTGTAATCACCAAGGGACGATTAGAAGTTTGGTTTACGGATAGGCGTGGAAATGTAAAACACTTATAGAAGATGTCACTTAAAAAAGTAATAAAATACATGAGAAATCGCCTGGCTCGACTGGGGTACCATTTCTGTGTCAATAGCAAAAAGGACACACTTAGGTCTGGATTGTGTTTAAGCATTTTTTTTTCTTTTTTTCTTCGACCACTTACTTCTTTCTCTCTGAAAAGTGGACTGATCGCCTTCGGAGGGATCGTCTATTGAAGAAAATGAACCATCCCCCAATGGGAGTGTCGATGGTTCAGAATATGAGAATGAAGATGAAGTCGACACGGACGAAGTCGGAGCTGTAAAGATGGGTGACCCAGTGCTTTCCTCTCCATTGAACGAATCCTTAGTACTTGATGGTGACGATAACATGTACACTGGAATCTCGTCGGAATCATCATCTACAGTGGTGTTTTCTCGAGAGGAAACCCCATAGAGATCTGAAAACTGTGTACCTTCTGTGTCCATGCCTGCTGAATTCGTGTCATGAGTTGAAGAGGGCGCGTCTATAAAACTTGTGTTGTCACTCAGTGGACCTTGTTCTTGTGCCCTAGAACTTTCTCCCATTGTTTCCTGGACAATGGTATTTTCACCTGAATTGTCAACTGTCGCATTAATAACAGGTTGACCCGGATTGCCTAGTTGGTTTCTTTGGAAATCCTGAAAATTAGTCTGCTCGTCCGGTACGTTGTAATTTTTTCCAACGTCTTTCTCTGAAATGGTAGATTCAGGATTGTTTGAGACAGACTGTGTCCTCGATGGGAGGAATTCCTCCCTAGAATCTTCATTGGTATAGTCTACTGTAGAGCCCTGGTCCAAATGTTCCCCAGTTATTTCAGGAGTATCAATGTCAGCCTTGTTCGCAAGCTTGCTTTTTAGTTCATTAGCGTCAACTGCCTCATCTGACTGCAATGTGTCTGTCCTATTTTTTTCGAAAGGCACTTCATTTAGTTTTGCCTCCTTGTAATTCCCAGCGTTATTCACACCTGTTTTTCCATCGATTTTATCCCCTGATGCCGCATTTGTCGATTCCTGGATAATATTATCTTGTTTTGCCATTTTGTTATAGTATCTTTCCTGGTCATTTTCAGGACTTTGAGCATTTTCATTGACATATTGACCGCTGTTCTCCCCGGAACCATAATCTTCATCAAGGACAGAAATGTCCGATGATTCTTCCTTACGCACATCTCCTCTAAATTGGGTTTGCTCAACTAGCTGATCCCCACTTCCCAGCTGTGCTTCGGCTTGTTCTTTCGTTCTTTTTATAGATTTGTTTTCCCCTGTAACTGTCATTTTTGAGCTTTCCACAACAGGGTTGGCTGTTTCTCCGCCATTGTTGACTTCAGTGTCTTCAAACTTTGAATTCATGTCTGGTGATCGCGGTCCATCAAACAGCGATTGATTTGCCTTGATTTTGTTAGATTCGCCTCGGAAATTATTATCACGGATATTTTCAGCAAATGTTTCGTTGGCCATAAAAGCATCATCACTTTCTGTTAAGTTCGATTTCTTAGGGTCAGCAACCTTTGAAAGATTTCTATGAAAAGGTTTGCTTTTCTTTTCTACATCATTCTTATCAGCACTTCTTTCTCTTGGCATGAATTCTTTGGCAAAATCATCGCGATAGTAATTTGCGCTCTGTCTTTCTGATTCAAATTGTTCACTGCTTTCCGGAAGCCTTCGTTTCTTAGGATAATCTACAAATGTCTCGTTTCTCTTGTCCGCACTTTCATGAAAAGAAAGATGCTGATGTTGGGGGGACTCACTGGCTTTCGGTGAGACAGACGTATTGGTGTCCTCTTTTTCTTCATCTTCATCTTCCTGAAGGGAAAACGATGATAAAGAAGGAACACTTCTAAACAAGAATGGTCAGTCTGATTAAAGTACGAGTTACTTATATTTATCAAGGAAAAATCATAGGCTACTGTAAGAAACTTGGCATTAGACATTCGAAAAAAGTTATGTGAATATCCTTGTGTGGCATAAAGCGCAAGAAGACACGCAGTATAGAGGATCAAGTCAGTGATTGAGGGAGTGAGTGAGGTTTTCATTTTTTCGTACATCGTGGTGTTTTTGAACGTGCAGTAATTACCAGTTTGTATTAGCTAAGCGAGACAGAAAGTTAATCTTGACAAATCTGTTAGATTAACGAATGGTCCTTTGTTTCACAAATTGACTCGTTAGGAAACGTAGCTTACGAGTAGCCGCGCCCTCCCCCCGACAAAGGAAAAATGTTTTTCGTTTGTCGGGGGGAGGGTGCAGCTATACATAGGCTATAGAAAAAGTAACTGGTGCGTAATCCCCGTCTCAGTGCTTAAGTTGGATTTGGTAGGTGATGCATGGTGCATAGCTTAGTATATGTATTCAAGTAAACTTGATATTGTATTGCATGACGTTGTAGTGCCTTACGTTGCAGTGCATTGTATTGTACTGTATTTCATTGCATTGCGTTGCGTTGTATTGCATTGCATTGTACTGTATCGTATTGTATTGTTTTTGGGTTGTATTGTTTTGTGTTGCATTGTATTGCATTTGCATTGCATTGCATTGCATTGTATTGTATTGTATTGTATTGTATTGCATTGCATTATATTACATTGCATTATATTGTTTTGTGCCATATACGTACCATATCTTTTCCACCACCGGAGGCCGATCGGCCTTCCATGTCATCCCCACTAGCTCTATCGAGAGCTTTATGTAAAAGCGCCTCAAGGTCGGTAGCTGCGATATTTTTTCCGCGTGAATGTGTTGGAATCACAGCAGCCGTGGACGATAAACCTTCAGCATCAAAAGAAAACTGTGGCATAGGAATTCCCTGTGTTATATCTCCCTTTTTGTCGGAATTACCTGCAATGGCTGAAGAAGAAATAAAAACCGACTGTGTCACTGTAGTTTAGTCCACTCAATTACTCGTTTTAATATATCAAAGTTACAAGGACACAGAAAAAAACATGTCGGAACACTGAATGACTGAACGTGGGTCTTTTATAGGGGGTTGGACATTCCTGAACGGTTTTTTTAATCCACTCCTTCTCACATATACTATGTCATTTAAATGTCCCTTTCTCGCTGTTATGACTTCGTTACTTTTATATTTCACGCAATTAAGAGGCCAGTTCCTGATGGTGCAGGAGCAGTAGAATGCTAAAGGTGGCATGACTTGCTCCTGTTACTCCACAAGAAACTTGTTTCTCCAGATGGCAGAGATGAACATGGATTGAAACTTGAAAAAGTTGGGCAAACCTTTTCAATGGTTTTAATACTACTCGTAAAAATTGGGAAAAATGTTATGGTTAGTGCTCTCTCTGATAAACGTTGTTTTATATCTTCTTCATAACACTATTATCCTGGGTTCCGAGGTTATTTCATCTTACTTATTTCGGGAACGGACCAGTAGCGGATTCAGCTTCGTAAAGTTGCGAAAATTTACAGACGTTTGTATGATGGGGGTGCAAGTTTGTGTCCCCCACCATACAAACGTCTGTCAAATTTCGCGACTTTGAGGAGCTGTATCTTCGTTAGTTTTTCAACAAATCACTTTCAGAATAGGAAGTTTTTATAAAGTTAAGGCGCTCTTTTCAGGGGTGTCAACGGAGTTTCCCTAACTTGTCCATGTCAAAATAAACTTGAAAAAAAAACCCTGAAAAGGTCTTTTGTGTTAAATATAAAACAACGAAATATCCTAGTGCTATGGCCCTTTTGAGCATAATAAACTGCAATCAAATGAGGTTTCTGGGTATCTGACCACCTAGCCCTCCCCTAAGTCACAATTTTGCCGTAAGTGAGAGGAAAGTGTTAATGTTGACTTAGGGGAGGGGTAGGTGGTCAGTTACTATAAAATATTTTATTACCACTGGAAGATGCAGGGGCTGCCGGTGTTTTGATCGTCATGTTCTTTCCCAGCGTCATTAAATTCTGTCCGAGATTTGAGAGCAATTCAGGAAGAGATTGTCGTTTTACTGCTTGATCATTGTTTATCTTCACGTGCACCTTAAGGGAGTTGGGAACTGCGTTTCCAGGAGGTTGGCTTATGTGGCTTCTTGGCTGGTCCTGATGATTTCTCCGAATTGGCTTATGTAGCAGGGTTTTCTTGTGATGTTTGTGAGGAATAAAGCGTGGATGATGCTGATGATGATCGTGATGCTTATGAAGGTTGTGGTGTGAATGATGAATATAATGTTTGATTGGGTTATAGTAATGATGGTGATGACGGTGGTGATGACGATGGTCATGATAAGGGTGATGATGCTTTTGATAATGAGGGTTTTTTTGTTTGTCATGGTGGCGAAGATGATGGTGCGGATAATGTTGGTGATGATGACCATGATGGTAACGATGATGGTCACGATGATGGTCATGATAAGGGTGATGATGCTGGTGATAATGAGGTTTGTTTTGTTTGTCATGGTGGCGACGATGATGGTGCGGATAATGTTTGTGATGATGACGATGATGGTAACGATGATGGTGATGATGAAAAATCTTCTGGCGAAGCTTTGCCTTTAGATTTAAGGCATTAGGCTTACGTTTATTATCTGTAAAAAATGATAGGAACAATTTATGCATTGGTTACCCAAAAATCCTGGCACCCGTATCTTTTAAACTTTCTGCACGATTAGTTTCTTCAATTCTATAATTATTGGCAAAAAACTTAAGTAAGTTTAAAACAAACAAATTAAATCATTTCAAGTTCTGGTTAGTTAAAAGGATCAATGCATATTCTACCCAATTTCGGGGCAGTAGCCAGACTCCCGGCCTAAGCGACACAAAATCTACGATCGTCGAAGGCGAATGCCTAGCTATTGGAACACCAGAAAGGTTTGAAATGTAGAGGCTCTTTCACCTTGCATTTTTTATATGGGATTATTTCTCTCACTCTAAGTTTCCGTTTGGGCAAGGGGAGAAAAAAAAATAGCCTCTTGTTAGCTACGTTCATGATCGTGGAACGTGGTTTCTCAATCTTAATTCAAAGAAAGAGTAATTTGTATTGACTGAGTACGTATAAATAATAATAATAATAATATAGGTTAATAATAATAACAATAATATAGATTCTTATTAAGCGCATTTCTGTTCCCAATGCGCTTTATATTATGATAAGAAAAAGAAAAAAATGAGAAAACTCTCTAGCCTATGTGACACACATATGTGCAAGCAGTTGCTTTTCATTTCTAACGTCCTATATGCAGCGCATGTGACCATGTTTGGCAATCATATAACAATGTCTGAATAAATCGCTAAACTTATACTCGACGAGTCAAGTCGAAAACAGAGCAATTAACTGAAGTGCGAGATCCGGGGGGATCCCTTTCACATACCTAGTTTAGAACTTTGCACCTCCCGGGTACTACCATATGGCTTATACGGGGATGCACCGTTGGCGAGACCATCTTTGACAGAAAAAGAACCCCTTTCGTATGCCTTCTATTAACAACTGGTACCTCTTTCACATATACCCAGTTTCGAACTTTTCATCCCCGTTAAACTGCTGTAAATACATTGTCTTTAAAACATGAATAAATCACAAAACCAGAACTTATTGTCGACTTTTTCACAACAATAAAATTTATCTGTTAGCCATTTGGGCCTTTTTACAGACCGAAAAGACAGATTTCCCCACCCTTTTATTAACTTCAACTGGTGAAATCCCTACCCTTTCATATACCTGAAGCCTGAAAAAGGTACCCCCGGGTACTTCTTTATATGGCCTATACGGGGATGTGCCGCTGCCGACAGGGTAAGTTTGACCTGTCTGTCCTAAACAGGGTATATAATTTCGTATGAGTCTTTCAACAGGGTGTTGCCCGCTGGATTGATTAGATTTGCCAGATGAATTTTGTTTGCACTCGAAGTGTACAAAAGCAATGACTATAACCTGAATTTGCTCTATTGCAATGGCCAATAAACGGCTTTAAAACGAGACAGCGTGCAATTTGTCCTTTGTCCTAAACAGGGAAGTAAAATTGAGGGTGATGTCCTAAGCAGAGTAGTTAGTATTTTAGGATCAGTTTTTTGTCCTAAACAGGGTCAGGCTTTCAAACCTTCAGCGGCTCTCCTATACTCAAATATTGGTCGAAACTCCCCTGAGAAGGTACTCCTTTTGATTTAGTGCCATGAGGAAGATCAGGGTTTGACAGTGCCATTTTCTCCACCGCACCACGGGGAGAAAGTTTCCGTCACAATAGAGTCAGAGAGCGGGATGGCAATAACAGGGAGTTTAAGCAACAACGTAGGCGACGGTTACGAAATCGTCGCTTAAAAAGTGAGTTCGCGCGGCTTTAAACTTTATCGCAGTTACTCCGGATCCATCTCGTTCAGGGCCCAGTTGCTCGAAGCATGGTTAGCGTTAACCATCGTTTAATACCTTGACAACGTATTGGTTTTGAAACTGCTTAACCAATGGTTAAAGCTAACCATGCTTTGAGCAACTCAGCCCAGTTCGTCAAATGTTGCCAGATTTTTCTGGAGTTGAATGCTAAAAGACCGTATCAAACAAGTTCAGGAAAAGAAAAGGAAAGTTGCTGTTGTTTTGCTCGGCTAAACCTATTGCTTTTTTGCCGTTCTTGTTGCCGTCGCCGTCGTCGTTGGTTAAGCTCCCTAATTAGCATGGAAACTTTGATTGTTTTTCTTGCCCCAGTATAGATCCATATGACGACTGTCAAGGGGTTATTCTCTTTCAAAATTAGACATATTCACGCTCGCACATGTGCTCTAGCTCTTAATCTCCAACAATGCAAAAGATCCAGTCTTCTAAATGTCGTCACATGCATGAATTACGCACGGGCAACAAAATATACAAGAGGGCTCTATCATGGCGACCTGCCTGAGTACTCAACAATTTATGATTTCTAGTTTGCAGTGGTTGTCCTATATTTGAGGCGAATGTCATCTTAGTTAACTTAAGTTTTAAACTACAGTGATATCTGTGATCAATTATATCAACATTGACAATAAATATCAGTCAAGCTTCCTTTGTTTTACAAACCTTTCCTTAGTAAAGAAATAAAGAGGCGCTCATAATAAAAAATTAAACGGCATCGAATTAACACACTTGAAAAGAGTGTTTCGGGACCCATAAAAGATCTCTACAAATCAGTTCTGTTACCAAGCCCGGCCTTGTTTTAGATTAGATCACATATAAACATGTCGAGTTTTTTAGGAGGAACAAAAAAAATCACGCCAAATTACCTTACCTTTGAAGGATCTACCGTGTCCTTTGTATAGAAGGGAGGAGCAAAGAATTAACAAAGCAAAACACAATTTCAAATCCATTTTGCCGCAAGATTTTAGTAGAGTTTGACAGTTTAACTTTGAGTAGTTTGTCGTTGTAGATTTGCTTATCGCGAAGGCATTTCGTTTATGGCGCCTCGGAAATGTTTTTGCTACACAAAATAAGTTTAGCTAAGAAAGCTTCGTTGACTGGTGAAATTTCAAAAACTGCAACAGGTTGGATGGAATAAAACCAAAACATTAAGCGAAAACTTCAAAGCTTAGAACCTTCAGTTGTTATGGCTCGTATTTTAAAAAAAGGCTTTTAGGCTTTTTAGGCTTTCAGATAACTGGAAAAAAATGAAAGAAAGTTGCAGGATAACAGGCAAAATAAGTCAAGAAACGGAACTTTTATAGAGCGACAATGATTAAACTTTATTTCTCATTTTTCTGTCTCTTCTTTTAATCGTACAAAATTATTTGGCAATTAATGAATGAGACTGAGTAAGATATAAAGAATTAAGCAGATCGAGGAGGGTGTTCTCCACCTTGGCCTTCGGCCTCGGTGGATAACACCCTCCGAAATCTGCTTAATTCTTCATATCCTACGAAAGTCGAATTTGTTAATTGCTTTATTATTCATTCAAA